ATAATGGTAATAATTCTCCATAGGTAACTCATGCTATGTACTATTTTTCAGTCTTTTTTCTTTTGTTTTATTTTAGACAATTTCTCTTGATGTCTTCAAAGTTACCAGTCCTTCTTCTATAGTGCTTAGTCTGTTATTAATCCCATTCAATATTATTTTTCTTTAGAACTCTAGTGTGGTGTTTTATATATTCTCCATTTCCCTTTTCATTATGCTACTATTTTCTCTAACTTCTTAAACATATATTGTATATTTGTATATCTCTAACATATGCATCTCTTCCACTTTTTATCAGTGTTATTTCTTGGTCTGTTTCTAATTTATTTTCTCTTATTAGTTACATCACCCTGTTTCATTGTATGATTACTAACATTTAATGGAATGTCACAAATTAAGGTTTCTGGATTTTTTGATATTACTTAAAATATTTGGGAGTTTTGTTCTGGGATAAAGTTAAGTAACTATTTTGTATACACACTAAAAAGTAATAAAAGTAACTTTTAAACAGCTTAATACATTAAAGTCTCACTTTTTAAACTGTTATAATAGCTTGCAGTCTAAAGCTAATTTCATCACATTACAAAAGCAGCAGCTATATGTTGTCTATGAGATGCCCCCTATTTTAGATCTTTTCACTCTGGTTAGTGGAACACAAAAATTTACCATCCCTATGTGAGCTCAAGGTATTGCTAGTCTGCTCCTTTCCAATCTCTTTTCAAGCTTTGATAGCTTTTTCACATACAAATGTTGATCAGCTATAGGAAAGCCTGCATAGGTCTTATCTCTCTTCAACTTGTAGTTTTCTCTTCTCCCATATTCTGCCCTACAAATACTGGCTGCTTTGGATACCTTAGCTATAAACTCTGTTACTTCAATTGGTGAGATTTCTGAATTGTTTGATTTCCTTTTCTCTATCCTGTAATCAAGAAAATCTCTCCAGGCAGAGAGCTAGGGATGTGTGGGGCTCATGTCACTTACATTCCCTTCTGTGACATCATTGTCTTGTGCTGCCAGTGATCCCCTTTATTATTACTACTTTTAAAAAATAATAATAGCAAATCTTTGTCCACTGGGAGATTTTTTTTTTTTTTTAGTTTAAAGTCACTCAGGGGCAAACTGGTTTAGTAACAAGACTTTTTTCATGCCATCTGTAAACACTTTTCTTATGTACAGGTACAGGACACAGTATCCAATCCTAGGCCTCCTGTATGATGACTATGAATATATACCACCAGGTACTGACACACAGACAATTGTGATTGAGAAAACAGAAGACAAATGGACTTGTGTAAGTTTATGTGGACATTTATAGTCCTATTTTGACTATATTTTAGCCTTTAAATCTTAAGTAAAATATCAAATGTCATAGACAATTATGAAGGGAGAATGGGGAGGGGCATATTTTAATGAAATTTGCCTTGCAATCTTGACTATATACCTATTCCTGTAGATTATAATCATTTTAGACTTTGAAAGGAGAGAGGAGATATGTCTATTTTCCCCCTAGATTGTGAGGTCCTCCAACTTTAAATCTTAAGAGTTTATAGTGAGGCTGCTGAGCAGTCATTTCAATGTCATGTACTCTAATATCTACCTTCTAAAAGATCCTCGAAGATGAATAGGTAATATAGACTTCAACATCTTTCTAAGTACTTTAATCCATTGTAAAGGGGCTGATTAAAATCTTCCTCTTATAAAGGGCTGACAGCTACTTTCTTGAAACTTCTATGGATTAATTTACTAAGCTAGTGATCATCAAAGAAAAAATGTGTATTCTCTTTCTCTCCAGGGGTAATATTGATCCCTGGGACGCATTTCCAAATGTCTGAAGAAATTTTAGTTACTTATAACTAGAGAGTGGGTATATTGTCATTTAGTGGGTAAAGGCCAAGGATGCTGCTAATAACTATAATGTGGAGGATAATCCCTCACAAGAAAGAATTATCCTGCCCAAGATGTTAATAGTGCTGAAGTTGAGAAACCTTGTGAATACAACAAAATGCTCTTGGTTTTTTCCCTAATTATATATTCCTAAACCTTTCTCAGAAATTCTAATAGTAATCCACTGAGATCATAGGAATGTGTATTATCTCTTAGGTGCAATAGACAGAAAAATGTTTGGGAATTCCAGCTCTCACACTATATACAATCCATCTTAAAACATTGTGAAAATAACATGCATTTTGTTAAAATTCCTACCTATCAAACTGCTTAGGCACTAAAAGCACATAAAACCAATCTATGGCCATCAAATAACCATCAGTAACCACTTATTGAGTGTTTATTGTTGGAAGGTGGGAACAGATTGCAAAGGAAGTATAAGGGTATTACTAATAATACCCTTTGTTTCTTGAGCTAGGTGATGGTTGCACATCCATGTTCAATTTCTGAAAATTTAGTTAAGTGCTTATAATACGTACTTTTTCTACGTTTATTCTATATCAATATGTGTACTGTGACAATTGCTAAATATACAAATGGCAATCAAAATTCTGCAGAACCTTTTGAAGAAATCTTAATTAATTTAATCAAGATTTAATTAATTTCAGATGTCCTGTTAATAAAATTAAGCATTTGCTAAATAACTCACTTAAAATATATTTTGGTTGGACAAACTCAATTATTTGCATAAACAAATAAAATTTTTTAGCTTTGAAGCCCTTCCATAACAATAATGAGGGTACCAATTTTGTAAATATGCTTGTCTACTATCAGTGGAAGCAAGCAATTACTAGTAAGCCTAAAACAAAAAGATTCGTGTAATTTGATCTTTAAAATTTTGTTTATCTTAGGTCATTAATTACTTGAGAGTTACTTGTTACTACTAATCATCAACTACAAAAGAGTACCTGTCGACCCTGTAGTAGCAAAAGAAAGGTCAATATAGGATTTACAATTTATCACTCAGGAATAATTTCATGCTGAAATCCAAGACTTAGATACAATTGATGCTACTAACTACGTGTGTCTCAGAAGTGGTAGCAATGTGAGAACCTGCCAAATTAAGAGTGGAGAATAGTAGCCATTTCTTTTCTATCCATTAAAACATGTAGCAATAAACATTAAAGTTGATATCTGTAGGGTTGATAAAGACTGGTAGCAAGTTCAAAATATACTTAAGTCCACAAATGATAGAAAGAACCATATTTATTATTAGAGATCTTTGGCCATACATTTAACCTCTAAATATGACATGAAGGATGAAATTTATTCAATCCTCCTTCCTTCCAATTAATGGTCATTTAAATATATACCTTGACTAAAGTCAGAGAGATCATTGTTTCAATATCATACAAAAGTCCCACAAAAGTGCAGTGCAGTCCCTTTGTTTTTATACATATCAATCCAAATAATTTTCCATAACTGTGTACATACATTGATAATATCTTTATGAACCAATTGTAAGATAACCTTTTCTTTTCTTTTCTAGCCATGAATGAATCCACTTTAAACTATTACAACTCAAAGAAGGCTATGTGTGCAGTTTATATTTTGTTCTTTTTCTGTTGATAAATCCCAGTCAAATTTTTGAACCGTATTACTACTGAATGAATCAAATGGAATGACCTAATTCTCAGATGAGTTTTCCAGCTATTTATTAGATTCAAATCTTTTCTATAACATTTATGTATTCAGTATACATACAAACCAAACGAGAAAACCTGCTTGCTTGAACTTTGATTGCAGAAAATGTAGAACATAACCTACAATTTTTCAGACAGGGTGCTTTCTAGATTGCCTACTAAGTTGTAGGGGTAGAGATTTTATGTTATTCAATGGGAGATTTTCTCTGATGCTAGATGTGCAATTCTGCCATAAGAATTAATTATGTTTTTAACAAAAAGGGGCAAAAAGAAATTGAAAAAATTCAAAAAATAGTTTAGTGCATGATACATACAGTCTAAATTTGCTTTTCTCATATTAAGCCTGTGACAAAAGGGCGGCTTTATTGCATGTTATTTACAACTCTTGGAAACATAACTATATCAAAGGTGATAGTTAATTTCATTTAGCAGGGAAGTGGGATATCTTTTTAAATAACTAAATCCACTAAATTGTACATTATGCTACTTGGTTCTGTCTTGGTAAGTGCCTTGGCAAATCTGTCCCTTTGAAGCATACTTGCCCCCAAATTAGCCCACTCATTCCTTAAAAGCATATAACACTATATTGTAGCAGTGGGCAAAAATAAAGCAGACTTTTTCATAGTGCTATACAAACATAACACTGAAATACTATACAGATATAAAGACTTAGGGAATAAATATAGCAACAACACATATTTGATACGTGTATCCTACTTGGAACATATTTTATAGTATTTAATGTACTCAGAAATTTACCAAGTGGGCTTTAATAATCATAAAAACTGAAAAGAAGTAGTTTTAAAAATGCATTTACAAGAATACATTTTTTAAAAAAGTCTGCCTGTAGCAGTTAAGAGGTCAGCACTTTCCTGACCTACTTGATCTATGGATAGGGAATAGAGGCTTATGAAAAGGTCCTTGTCATTCTGAACATTTTTTAACACTCATAAAATTTAGCAGTAGAGAGAACTGTATTTTTAAAATACATATTTTGCTTCTGATTTGTGATTGAGATCAATAGAAAAAGCAGTGATGTCTTTTCCTCTCACCAGTTTAAGGGCGCTTATGTATAAAAACTGCAAATATATCAGTTGAGGAAAGTTTGTTTATCTAATTTCTATTTTAGTGTTTTTACTTTAGAGGTCAAATAAAATGGAGACTATAATGACATGCAAAATAATTTATATGTCTAAATATGTTAAATATTTGCACTGTTTTTGTGGAAGTTGAAGCAAGAAATGTACATTTGGATTTTTAGCTTAGCTCTCTATCATGTATTTGGAACTAACAAGCACCACTCTAATAAAATAACCAAACACTATAAGGACTTCCTGATGTAAACTATCACAGATGGCACTTTAAAATAGTTTGACCTCCAGTTGACTCAGGTTTCTGCTTTAAATTAGAATTTCTTTCTATGTTCCGTAACTCACTTGTTTCAGACCTAAAATTCTATAATGCATTCTTCCCATCTCTATAATAATGCTCTGTTACTTTCTCTTAACATAGACAGTACAACAGGAACAAAATAAATCTTTAAACAATTGTATCTCTAGGGCTGGGGATTTAGGTCGGTGGCACCATGCCTGCCTTGAAAACGCAAGGTCCTGAGTTCAATCCCCGGTACAAAAAAAAATTATATCTCTATGCCCAATTTAGATCACTTTAATAAAAACCCATCATATCTCTTCCATTATTGCAGTCTATAAAGATGTTTCTTTTGAAAGTAAATGTTGTGAAAATATTTCCTCAAATGGTATATCTTCCCCATCACTTGAAATTATTAAACTTACTGTTTTTCCATAGTACTTTTTGTGCAATTAAAAACTACAAAGTATTTCATATTCACCCTAGGATAAATAGTAAATAGAAAATATTCACATACAGAACACAATGAACACATCTTTCTTAATAAAATCTTTAAAGATATTTATTCCAGAACAAGATATACTTTTTTTACTTTAGTCTGCAAAGGAATAGTGGAATTGTTATTTTATATAATTACATGATAACCAATATCAATTTTATGATAGTTTTGGGAATCTTGGATTCATCTCTTGTCAACAATAAGATGCTAAGTCCATGGTCTTGAACTTGTATTCTCATCCTACCACACTAAAATAATAGTTTTGTTACTGAAGCAGATTTTCCTGAAATCCTTTAAGGGCAGCTTTTGCAATTTTTTTCTTTGATTCTACAGGCTGCTTACTAACACAATCAGTGCTGAATACTCCTAGTTCATATGTGCCAAGATCCAACAAAGCAGAGTAGTTTTTTTAAATGGGAGACTATATAGGCTTTTTGATAGTTTACTAAAGAGGTCTAATGGCAGTCATGCTGTAATTGAAAAGTGTTAGAATCTAGCAGTGATGGTGAACCTTTTAGTGCTTTCAGTGAAAGAAACAGCCCACTGTGGTATGCATGCCACAGCTTTGCCATCACTCATCTAGGATAACAGCATTTTGGAACCAGGTGAGATTAGGACTTACTTTAGAGGTTAAATGGGATAATGTCAATATTGTCAATTGGTTCAGATTTTAAAATGGAGCAGGATTCTCTTTGGAGTTACTTGGGCGATGTTCAAGGAAAAAGACACAATAGCATTTGGAAGAGGCACATGAACCATTTTTAGTGTAGAATATAGTGCTAGATAGAACCTTTAACCCACTGCCCATAACAATATTCTTAAATATTTTTCTTTCCATCATGCCTTAAGCCATTTAGAAGTGACAAGTGGACAAAACCATCTGCACATAGTGGCCCTGAATTGTTCTGGAAAAATGATTCTCTATTTCAATCTATTCTTTCTTGTGAAGGCACTTTGAATTGCAATTCTACATTTTTAAATGGAAGCTGTTATGCATACAGGGAAGTTTGGGCCAGTAAAATTATATTTTTAGGGCAATATTTCATTTGTAACTTGGGCTGAATTCATGTTTTACCTGAGCTGAAGTTTTCTAGGCCTAACTTGTAAGAAAATCTATCCACTTTTATCCAGCTCCACTGTAACCATGAATAACAGGAATGACTTAATGGAACTCTGCATCCTTCAGAAATTCTGTGATGGATTCCTCATGTAGCCTCCAGAGTCATCTTCAAAATGTACATAGCAATATATTACTCCTTTCCCAAAACTCCCAAATGGTTTTGCACTTTAAACTTATCACAGGTCTTTTCAGTCCCTTGAATTTACAGTTATCCAGCCAAAGCTTGCTCCTTCTCAGTTATTTGTATTTATAGATTTCTCTGCCTTGCTCTTCCACAAGATCTTTATGTAACTAGTTCCTTCTCGCCACTTACGTCTAAGCATACATGTCCTCAGTAAAGATTACCTCTATCTACTCACCCATAGATATGTTTAAGCAGAAACACTAAAGTGTGCCAGAATTGCATTGGATGCTTTGCTCTAACATAACTCATATGGTAGGAACACATAGAAGCTTGCTAGAAATGTAAAATTATAGGCCCCACAATTGAATTAGTATATGTGCTGCCGAAGCGAGCACTCCCACAATTGAATTAGAATTTGCACGTTATGAAGATTCCCAGGTAAACTCCAACTGAGAAACACTGGTCTTAACATATAAATCTAAATCTTGTTCTGTTAATGATTCTTTTTAAAGAATAATAATCTAATTCACAGATTTTAACTAGTAATTCTATATGTCTAGGTATATGAATACTATTAAATGCTGATTATTTAGAACACAGCTACTTAGTTTAATGCTCATTTTCAGAAATATTTCCTAAGTACCTAAATCAATACTTCTATGTATATTGGAATCATAATTAGATTTATTCATTTCTCAGGACTACGTCATGTAAATAGGTTAATCATCTTTACTTTTCTCTATAATACTAATACCAGGTCTCAAAATGGACACTTTATTTCTAGCATTTTGTCATGGTTTTAGCAAACTATATACATCCTTGAGGAATAAGCATGTCATAGTCATCACAATTATTTAAATTCCTAGCCCATTTGTTGTTACTGCACAAAACTCAACCAGATGTCAAAAAAGGAACCAAACTAGCTAAGACAAGTTTTAAGTGAGAAGTATTTTAATAAGGAATGAACATTACAACAAATCTTTAAACAAACTCATAATGCCTTGAAGTGCAATAAATGCTTTTTATTGTATGCTCATTTCAATGAGTAACATTGAGAAATTATAATCCCACATAACAGTGACAATCTTATTTTACAGCGTGTACATCATTTACAGCCACATAACACACAATTTTATTAGATTTTCCAAATTTAATATTCAGAAGTTAGGAAAGATAAAAAAATTTACTCTCAAGTAACTGATTCTTATCTGGTGCAAAAACAAAAAGGTGAATATTATTTGAAACGCAAAGCCACAATATAGCATGAAGTAAAATTACGTTGAACATCTGAATATAAACATGAAGCAACTAAAACTGAAAAGTACACATCATGTGCATTATATTCATGAGCAAGATTTTCATTAAGTTTCCCTAAACGAGCTTTTAATATTAAGCGCCATTTTGATTTGCAGCATGCTAACACAAAGCATTGTTAAAAGGATGCATATTTTAAATTTATACACTGTAAACTGAATATCCATCTCCAATGTCTATTGGCAGCATACTGTTCTGTTAAATGCTGAACAAATACTGCCTCATAGTGAAAATGCATGTTAATAACATGGTATATAGATTTTAAAAATCAAAAATTTCAATAATGGCATAAAATTGCACCTTTAAACATTACAGCAAGTAAGACTAGAACAATCATACTTGCTAAGACTGTCCTAAAAAGCCCTCCAAACACTATATTTAAGAAAACTGTGTTCTCTCAATTTAATCTCGAGATCATTAAGAAATACAGTGCTGATTTTATTTGCAACACTACAGTTGCATCCACTTTGGAAAGCCACATTTGACTCAAGTATACTTTTGTCATATATGTAATACTGAACAACAATCGACTTGAACATCAGAAAAAAGGGAGCTTTAGTCCTAGGACTTCACCGCAGATTTCAGCACAGAATTCTATACTTTAAACATCTTACCTGTGATAAAATATTAGCAGCTCTGAAATTATTTTTTTTAATAGTACTGAATTACACTAACCTGTTTGTCAGTGAAATTTAACAAATACACAAAATGTTTGCCATTTCTGGAATTTAATGTCCAGTTATAATATAAAAGGCTCAATGACTAAGTGACTAATGAATTTTATTTCCCCAACCTGTTTCTAAAATTGCATAAAAGTGAGGCTTTGCTTGCTATAGCAAAGCACTGCTAAAATCCTCTTTTCAGAAACATTTGTCTCTAGTATGATCAACTAATTAAAGTATTTGTATTTACTTTTCCTCTCTGGATTTTAATTATGCATAAAATACTATTAAATAGACACTTAAGTCTGCAACCATTCTATGGTGCTTTTAAATTCTTTCAGTAACTTCCAAGGGGCTGAGATTTCCCCATCAATTCAAATATTTTAAGATCTTTAATACAAAGAATGTAAAGTTAAGGTTTAATACTAAGTTTTGAAACCAGAAGAAACAGTGAGGTCTTCTTCCCAGGTGCCATATCTTATTTTCTAAATAGATTTTTAAAATATATATCTTACATAAGAGCCTCCTTGTGGTGCCTCATAATATGCTGATTTTTTTCTGATGGTCTACGGAATCCCTTCTTGCAGAATTCACATCTATGTGGATAGTCTTTTGTATGTATTGAGATCACATGTCGTTTAAAGCCAGATGCATCTGTAGTGCTGTATTCACAATACTCACATTGGTAAATCTTCCTTCCAGTATGAGTCTTCATATGCTTTTTGAGCTCATTTTGTTGTCTGAATCCTCTCTTGCACCTTTTACACTTCAATGATTGATCCTTAGTATGAACTGAAAGGATATGACCGCTAAGAATAAATGGATCTGATGTTTTAAAGTCACAATGCCTGCACTGATGAATCTTCCTACCCTTATGAATATCACTATGCTTTTTGAGCTCAGATGGACGGTGGAAACCTTTATCACAGACCTCACATTTGTGAGGGAAATCCTTGGTATGGACAGATATGATGTGCCGCTTAAGGTCACTTGAATTGGTGCTCTTATGATCACAATGAGGACACTGGTGTGTCTTATGTCCTTGAAACAAATCCAGATGGCGCTGAAGCTCGCTTTCATCACCAAATGCTTGGGGACAATGCTCACATTTATATGGCAAATTGTTACCATGCTTAGACTTAATGTGAGTTTTCAGATTAGACTGATCTGCACACCTGAAGACACAATACTGACACTGATATGGCTTCTCACCAGTATGGGTTCTCATATGTTTCTTGAGTTCAGAGGGATGTCGAAAACCCTTCCCACACTCAACACAAACATGAGGAAAATTCTTGCTGTGAACAGCCAGTAAATGTCTATTCATCAGTCCTTGTTCTGCAGTTTCATAGTCACAATATTTGCATTTGTGCATCTTCGGCTCCTTATCTCTTAAGATAAGTTTATTTGAACTCAGTGGACTAGCCTCTCTGTATCTTCGTGTGTATTCTGTAAATTCGTGAGATTTGTCAACTTTGTTTATAAGCTTATGGCTTTCTAGGTGGTTATGGAAACTTACTTTCTTGTTAGTTGTAAAGTCACAATCTGTACACTGATACTTTTTTCTCATCAAATGATCAGGATGATTCTTCATGTGCCTTTTTAAGAATCCCCTGGATTTAAACTTTTTTGTGCAAATATGGCAAGGGTATACTGTCAGGGGCTGCCCATCAGGACCTATTATAACAGCTAGATAAAAAAAAATAAAGGAAATTGTGATATTTGGTCAGACTGCTTTAAAGGATTTTATAACAAAGGTGCCAAAGCTAGCTGAAATTCACTATGTGGAAACTATACTAGTTGAATAAAATCCTGTAAGATAAAAAATGCACATTAAAACAAATGTATGGGAAAGTAATTCAGTAATAAGTAATGAGTGGAACTCTACTAAATACCACTCACCTGCCATAATACTACCTTCACATGTACTTTAAAAGCCAGAATGAGCAGCACACCCTTTATTGGTAAAACCAACTTTAAAATTCTCGTTAAAAATATCTTTCAATAAGGGGAAAACTATTTCACATTATCTATGTGAAACAGGAAGAAAAGGGGCAAAGGGGAAGGAGAAGTGGGAGGGGTAGGGGAAATTAAAGAAGGGAATGGAATTAATATGAGAAAATGAAAAAATGGAAACAAAGTCTTTGTAGATAGGGAGGGATGTAGGGGTTGAAGGGAGGACAGGGGAAGGAGGAAAAATAAGAACCAAGAGAGATTATGTAAATGTGCAAATTTCCAATCATGAATGTCATTATATTGTACACCTAAAATGTACCAATAAAATAAAATTTTTTAAAAAACTCAAAAAAAATAAGGAGAAAACTAGTATAGTTTTATTAGGTACCAGTCATACGATACAAAAAAAATCTATATCCTACACAAAGGTACTTGGAGGGTATGACTACCTTTTTGCAACTGATTTTTTTCTTTGGGCACAAAAATAACTGCATATCTGAAATTATTATAATATTCATAAGGCAAAGTATTTTACCTGTTTGCCACTGCCTTGTTTCTCCCTTTCTCCTCTTCTTGGCTTTTTGTTTAAGGATTTTATTTGTATTAATGCTATCACAAATTTGAAGATACTGTGCTGCTGTACTACTTCTGTTTTCTAATGTTGAGTCCAAAGGGTTTCCTGGCAAAAATTGGTACATTGTTAAACTTCATATATTTATACTTCTTTGCTTTTGACAGACAAATTAATGTAGATAACATGGTGCCAAGTTTCTACTGTGATAATAAATTTCAGAAAGTATACTTATCTACTCATTCTCCCCTGCCTCATACACTCACAGATGTGTATATGGAAACTCTTTGAAAAGTATATCACATGAAATAAATGTTAAAATACATCAATTTGGGCCGGGGATTTGGCTTAGTGGTTCTTCCGCCTGCCTTGCAAGTGCAAGGTCCCAAGTTCAATCCCCATACCCTGCCCCCAAAATACATCAATTTAATCATCACAAATGAATAAACTAATAAGATGAATGTAACATAAAAAACTGAATTTTATAACCCTGTACCAAATCTTGGCATCGGACTAATTTCTCACCAATGGAGGCTGTTGACATTAAAGAGATTTAGCAAGAAATATACATATAGTAGTGAATTAATATAGTCATGTTAACTATATGCTAATGTATAAAAACATATATGCTTTAAAATACTTAACTGATGTGAGAAATATTAAATATTAAGTAACAAGATTGATTTTAGGGGTTAAAATTGATATGGCAGGCAATTTGTTGCAATTTCATTATGATTACTGCATATAGAACAATGTCCTTAATAAAATACAAATCTATCATGGTATCATGAAATTTAGTTTTAAAATGCATGTCTACAAAACTGTCAAGTTAGCTTACATGCTGTGATAAATAGCTCTCATAAATTTCTGTGAAGTCTGTATTTAAATTTAGCGTCAAATATATCCCAAGGGCAAAAAAATAACTAAACATTCTGTAGTAAGGAAAAGTCTCCTTGTGTAAAGTATACTATATAAAGTATATTAAAACTAAAAAATAGAGTAGACTCACTGATTTTTAATTTTTGTATAAATATATTTATAATCAGCTGGTTGCCATGCAAATATAAAAAGCTCCATACCAAGGAAGTTATTAACA